TCCAGCCCCTCCAGAAGCTCCCTAACTAAATCCTCACTCACTCTAGGCCCAGGTGAGCCTCCCCCGGGGCCCAAAGGGGGCCCAGCAGGGAGGTGGCAGTTCTGGTCCTTACTGAGGAAGACAGAGGCAAAGAAGTTATTAAATATGTTGGCTTTGTCGTCTGGCGTGACAACCAGATTCCCCATCTTGTCCTGCAAGGGCCCCACATTTCCTGGGGCCTTCTTTCTACTCCCTATGTACTTAAAAAAGGACTTCTTGTTGTCCTTAATCTGGGAAACCAGCCCCTGTTCCATCTCTGTCATAATGACAGCTGTGAACAGGATATTGTGGGGTTTTACTCTTAGAGATACCGGGGAACACAGGATGGTCCATGCTATCCAGCTGCAACCCCTTTTTCCAGATAAGTGGCATTGATATATTCCAAAATGAACTCAACCTGCCTGATTGTGAAATGTAGCCATGAAGGCAACAAAGCCCAGAAAAGCCTCAATTTTACCTTTATCAGAGGAAAAGAAAGCTGATTAGAGGGACATCTTTATTTTCAGGAATAATGATTAGGTCATTCCCAACCAATGAAAGCTGTTTTACTCTGTGTTCAGGTAGCAGAGATGGTGTAGCAGGCACTTGCCCAACCACCTCTGTTTTCTATGGTTTCCTGCATAGTTTGTATGTAGATTATAGGGCATCTGCAGGACTAGAACTCCCTGCTTACTCTACAGAGTTAAAGTGTAACTCCCTCAGTGGTCTCTCAAGAACTCTACATTTTCTATTTTAGCTACTCATATTGCCTTATAAAGTAGTGTAATATCTTATATTTTATGTATTTACCCTCACAATCCTTCAGTGAGGCAAGGAAGAGATTCTGCGGCACAGAAAGGATAAATGGCTTTCTTAGATCATACAACTATCTGTTGCAGGTCAGAGACTTGAATTCAGATTTCCCTATCTCAAGCCCTAACCACTTCACCATTCTTTTTACTAGGCAAAGTTTCCCAAGTACCTTCAATTCTCTAGGTTTTTCTACACATAGATAGAATCTGGCCCATAGTTTTGTAAGGCATTCTGAAAGTCTTGGCAATGTAATATGCCATAATCTTTCTTAATGTGAACACTTAACCAAGTAAAACTGTTCAGAATTAGATCAGTGAAACTAAAACTGAATCTGGCTAAAGTGAAAATAGGGTTAACCTCAATAATCTGTGCTTAATACTCTGTCCCCAAACCACCATCACCTCTGCCAGCCTAAGGGAGAATAACTAAACCAATATAATACTTTTCATTCTCTGTGAATAATTCTCAGATGCTTTCTGGTTCAGTAAAGGCATCCAAAATGGTTTATCCTGTGATATCCCTAATGTGCATGGTCACATGCAGTTTCAGTGACCATAAATATTTTTAGTTTCATGCAAATCATAGCATCAATGATATTGGGTATGGTGGAGAGTGGTGCATTTTGCATATTTACACTCAACCAGAAAGTGTAACCAGAATTTGAAGGAGGAAACATGTTTTAAAGGCTTGTTTGTACATACAGTTCCCTGAATTCCCTCAGAGTTTGGTTACCCAGAATATTCAATATATAATTCTAGATTTAACATAATTTTTATTTTTGTTTTCTAGGAAAGGAGATTAGGACTATTTCTGAAAATATATGTATACCTTATTTTAAGGTTCATTTTTTTCCTGGACCATATGATACACAGACCCAATTTTGGTTGATACATATTTGAATTAGAAAGGATTAAGTGCTTTTTCATCTACTTCATCTCTCTCCTCTCTCTCTCAGGATTGGATTATTGCTCCAGAGGGTTATGCTGCCTTTTATTGTGATGGAGAATGTTCTTTCCCCCTCAATGCCCACATGAATGCTACCAACCATGCCATTGTTCAGACTTTGGTATGTCTATGTCTATGTTATATCATTTTTTGAGCACATAGAATCCTTGTGCAATGACTGCATCTTCTTCTTTGTTTATAAGTATTAGGTTTGGATTATTTTTGTTTAAATTACAACCCATTACAAAGACATGCTTCAATGATTGCAATGGCAAGTAGATGAAATGTCCAGAATGCCCAGTATGATAGGTTTACATTCCATTTAAAATACAATAATACATGAAAATACTGTCATAGCAAGAAGCAAAAGAGTATTCCCACCCAATTTCCAAGTATTTTATACAACTTTTGACCTCCTTATTAACATGAATACATTATATTAGTGTACAGTGACTGTTTTCAGCTGTTATCAGAAAAATGCTTAAAATGTCTTATTTCCCCTTCCTCCCATTCAACCTTGGTGAGCCCCAGCCAAAACTTCACTGATCTTGTATCCTCCATCCTGACAGTCAATTGAGCAAGAACTGAAACACAGGGAGGGAGGGAAGAAGAAGGGAAGAAGACACAGGTTAGAAATAAGCAAGAGGTGTGGTGTAAAAGAAGTGAAAGTGTGGTATTACTTGGCAAGGAATATACCAATGTGTTTATGATGCTGAAGATAATCATATATCTGCAATGAATAACTGAAGAGAATTAGGTCAATAACCATTTATCGTTATGTAAACATTGCCCAGAAAACCTACCAAAGCCAACGAGACCTTAGGTAAAATATCTCTTATATAATCATGTATCATATAAGATACAGCCATACAAGGCTCCTTTCTTTTGGGCATTTAATTTTTTCAAGTATCTACCAGACTTACTTTGTAGAATCTTTTTTCAGATTTCTTTATTTAAAATCAGATGCTTTAATTTTCCCTCTTTTTTGTGGCCTTTTGGGAACTGTATACCCCTCTGCCTGTTCTACACATGCATCCCATTGTGTAGCCAAAAGTCCATGCGCCTAATGGAATTTTAACTGCACATAAATTAGTTGGGATAACAGTAGCTGAAAGCTTTCTGCTTTTAATTTTACAAAATCTAGAATTACTCAAGGTGAGCATATGGGGATGGTTTGGGAAATAGTTATTCATGCACCCCACCCAAACACAAATGTAATCAATCCCCACCCATGGTGATTACATCATTTTGAAAAGGTCTCCTCTTTGGGTTGGGAAGTGCTTTTTCCTCAGTACCTCTTCAAATTTACCTGCCTTTTTTTAAAGAAGCACGGGGGAAGCCTTTGTTCCACCACTTGTTTTTTCCTGGAAAATAGATCTAAGTTGTCTACAACAGTAAAAACTTTCCCAAATAAAATAATTTGAATAGATGTATCTTTTTTACTGAAGTCAGTGAGTAAATGGATACACTCCCACTGATTTCTGGGAAACCAGAGGTAGGCTGATGCAGAAGGATTTTGAAAATCTCAACCTATTTCCATATGCTAGTATCACATTTATTAGAGACTGTTAAAATTTTATCAGCACTTCATGGAGTGCAGGTGTGTTTGGATCTAAGGATTTGTTTTGGCAGAATGATCATGTGACCTGACTGAGATCACAGATAGAGTCAGTGTTAGAACCAGGATTCAGCTTCAGGAGCTCCCATGTGACTTAATCCACCACATCCAGCTGCTCCTCATATCACTGAGCTGTCAACTTGATCCTGTGACCCAGACTGGTCAGAATCTATAAAAGCTGTTTAGAAGAGGAGCAGTCTCACTGGCAAATATCCAGGACACAGCTTATGGAGGCCCTAGCATCTTAGCTATCAGCAATAGCACATCTCCTAAAAAGTAATGGAAATGTCAGCTACATGATTAAAGGGCTCTAGGCATGGGTCTGAGGAGGGAATGAGGGGAGACAGAGAATTTTTGTGCATAGTTTATATGTGTAAACCTTTCCTCATTATAGAGAGAGTTGGAAATTGAACTTTGTAAAAACTGAATGTATCCCTGACAAATATATATGGTTCCTAAAACAGGAGAGCTCATGGGTGTGGGGTTAGTAGAATCCAGAGGATTATGCAGAGTGAAAATCTGCTTAGAAGAGGAAAAATCTCTCTTTTGTCAATATTTTGCTTTCATTTGTTAAGCAATTTTGAAATGTATGTGTTTAAGCCCTTCCTAAACTGCTACTTCAGGATTTATTATTGCTTATTTAAAAAAATCTTCTCAGGGTAACAGTTATATAAAATTTGTTTCCTGATTGACTGTTCTCTGCTATTTGGCAAAGACTACAGGCTTATATCACTGCTAGGCAGATGGCTATAACAGATTTAGAAAGACTTAACATACAAATGAAACCTATTACTGTTGAAGTCTTCACCCATGCCTCAATAATCTCTTGCCCTTTCTATTATAATTCCCTTCTTTCTGGCCTCCCCAGTCATCAGCCCTTTAGCTTGTGCAAAATATTACTTCCAACCTTCTTTCAAGTACAAAGAACTTGTTTTCCCCATTCTCAGATATTTCCACTAGATCTGTGTTAGTGCTGGGATACTGTTCCAAACTGCTTTCTTTCTGTTTAACCTCCTGTTGACCTACTCCAGCCTAACTCATAGAAAGCATTATCCATCTATCCCTACATCTTGCATGCATTTCATGACTTGACTCTGCTCCTTCTAAAATCAGTGAAAAAACTGCTCTGGGCTTTAATGAGAGCAGAATTAGGACCATAATTAGCAAGATAATATGGTAAAGATGCTGAAGAAGAATCGTGTTCTTAGTCCCTTTTCAGAATCAAGACGCTCTGGCCAGGTACAGACATTACACATAAGCTGGTATAGGTGCTCAGAAACCAGTTAATACCTGTAACTGAACAAAGTTCAATGCATGTAGACTGCTTTAAAAATGGTAGAACCTGGTCTAAGATACACCTGGATCAATGTGGTGTCAGACTTAAATGATTTACGTTAGACTGGTCTATCAAACCTCTGTACTAGGTCCCCTAGTGACTCAAGTTGGGTTGCAGTCCACTGGCATCCCAGGTGCATTTGCAGTCCCCTCTTCCTCTGGCCCCTTGCACAGAAGTGTGCTGGAACTTGGCTCATGTTCAGCTGCTCCTGCGAAAAACTTAGCTGGCCCTGCCTCCTGGGTGGTCACAGAGCTAAGGCAGCAAAGCCTCTGTCCCCAGCCCCACATCCTGCCTGTGACAGGGGAGGCAGGATGGATGGGGGAGTGGAGGCCCCTGGTGCAGCCCCCTCACCCCCCAGCTGTGCTAGTTTGGGTCGGGGGAAGGGGCTGGGGCAGAGGCCTCTGCTCCTGCCCCTGCTGCCGCTGACACCTGGCTGTTGGCAGGGGGGGCAGGGCTGGGGAGAAGGGCCACGCTGGCCAACCAGGTGTGGCCAGCTGCTTGGCTGCTCAGTTGGCTTTGGCATTTCCCAACAGCCTGCTGGGCGGTGTGCAGAAGCACCCCCAGCCTTCTGGCTTTGGCCAGTACAGGCAGTTTGCAAGCTTCCTGCCCCCATCAAAGGGCAAACATCTGTTCTGTTCACTTCTGACCTAACCTCAGGTGCTTAGAGTAAAGCGCAAAACTTAGATTGCTTCACCTCAGGGTTTTTGAATGTCTGTGCTTAGCCTGTGTGTGAGAACCTTCACTTCCATGGCATTTGCTGCCTGAAATAAATTTCATATGTTCTTCCTTTATCAAGGCTTTGATTCAAGAAAGCATCCCTTTCAGGAAAGTACTTTAGCATGTGCTTAAGTCCTACTGAAGTCAGGGACTTAAGCACGTGGTTCAAGGTTAAGCATGCAAGTGCTGTCCTGAGTAGAGATGGCATTACCCATATGTTTAAGTGCTTCCTGAGTCTAACTCCAACTCTTTTCAAATATCATATGAAAAGCAAATTTGTCTCTTGGCTGATCCTCCTAACTTATCTCTCCATCTCCTGTTATTGCATGGCTCTCACTGCACTTTTGAAATCAGTGGAGCATTCTTGGAGGTAAGCATTGTATGAAAATAGCTATAACTAAAACTTTAAAATGCTGATAGTTTAGAGAGAGATATTTTGCATGGATTTTGGCACAGCACCTTTCTATTTGATATATGAGCTGCTTGTTTTTTCTTATTTTTCAGGTTCATCTGATGTTTCCTGATCATGTACCCAAGCCATGCTGTGCACCTACAAAACTGAATGCAATCTCAGTGCTTTACTTTGATGACAGTTCTAACGTTATTTTGAAAAAATACAGAAATATGGTGGTTCGTTCATGTGGCTGCCACTAGAATGAAAAAAAAAATCAAAACCAGAGTTTATTCAGAATTATAATAAAGTCAGAATACCATCCTTGCTGCTGAAAAGCCAGCCCTAAACTTATTCAATTTCATGTCATCTCTCATTTAAATGTACAGTTTAATGTATATAGTAGCTTTTATTTATTTAAAGGTATATAGTTTCTTTTGTATGAGCAAAATTTCAAAACAGTTTATTTTATGAGTCACCTTACTTATGCAGTAGAACTTCCAAAGCATATTTTCAATTGATCATGCTGGGATCTATTTCATTCCATTGCAATGTTTTAAGGGAAAACCTTTGTGTAGTGTTTTTTTTAAAGTTAGAAACTCCAGAACTCTTGTGACTGTTTTATATTGTTAAAGGAAATTGAATACATTTGGTTAAGTTGTGCCAATGAAAACTATGGTGGGATATTTATTTAGAAAAGTCACAGAGAAAAAAGAAACCAAATAGAATGCTTGACTAAACATAATTTTTATTATAGAAGTTCTGCTCTATTAGATAAAGTGAAATGTTGAACAGTGTTTGAATAAACAAATGGTAGATAGAACATAGGAACTGGAAGACTGCATATAATTGTTATAACTATTTTCTTTAACAAAATCAGTGCAACTGGACGAGCATGTTACTTCTTGGCTTGCAGGCTGTAATTTTGCAAAAGGCTCAAAGCTTCAGGAGTTCTGTGGATAGCCTTTATCTATAACTTTCCAAGTCAACAGTAGAAAAAGCTGAAGTATAACCTTCTTACCTCAAAGACATCATGTTGACCTATTATATGTAACACAACAGATATTTTCTTACTTAACAATGGCACAAAATAAAGAAACGTGAGTCACCCAACAATACAGGTAAGAGTCACTGTATGTGTAAGATGTAAAGGAGAATAGTCATGAAGGAATTGGTTCTTTTTAGCTCCCCTTTCTTGCTGAGTTTACTAATTTGGTGCCCTGAGAGACATTTAGAAAGATAGAAAGCATACTGATGTCCTACATCAGCTGAGGCCAAAAACATATCCATTCATCTAGGCTAGCAACTGACATTACACATAAACCAGTTTAAGTCATCAGAAACGGGTTTAAACCTGTAGCAGAACAAATGTTTAGTGCACATAAACTGGGTTGAAAATGGCTGAAACCAGTTTGAGATAAACCTGGTTGAATGTAGTATCATATGTAATTGATTTGGCTCAAACTGGTTTATGCGATGTCTGTCCAAAACCCCTGCTGGTTTAAGTTAAATCAGAAACCCCCAGCATCCAGGCACGCTCTCTGGGCTTGGTGGAGCTCTCTGCTCCCCAGCAGGGCTGGCCCCTTCCCTCTGCTCCCTGGCTGGAGCTCTGGTAGAGACTTGCAGGCACAGCAGTGTCTGCCTGGCTTCCTTCTGCTCTCCCGCTCCCCTCACCACTCCCTGCTAAGCAGAGATCCCCTGTCCCTTCTGCCATACACAAACACCTCAGCATTAGCTAGCAGACCACATGCTGGCTACAGTCCATGCTGTGGCAGACAGCAGTGTCAGCTTAGGGCTTTTTGGAGTTAATAAGCAGCTCAGCTGGTAATCTCCCTCCCTTCCTTTGTTTAAGAAGAACTTGAAATAATGATAGAGGCTCTTTATTTTCTGATGGGGTGATAAATGCTGATAACAGAGCTTATAAATGCTCTGTTGTCAAGGGGTGGGGCGCTCTCCCTAATCCTGCTGAGGCTTGGCCATGCCCCCTCAGCTCAGCTCTGTGAAGGGAAGGGAAAGTAAGGCTGCTGTAGTGCCCCCCAGCTTCTAGCCTGAGCCACTGCAGGCATGTGCCTGCGTGTCTGGGATGTATGTGAAATTACAAAGTGATTTAGCCTGGCCATTTAGGTAAACTGACTTGCAAAGATTGAATCAATTCAGGCTCAGGTTTTTTGAATGTTTGTCTCCCTAGCCCTAGTAATTTATCTTTGCTAATGGCCTCAGATGTTTCATAGGAAGTTGAATGAAGCCCCTGTTGCCATTAGGCCATTGTGGGATAGTTTTTCTTCCTGATATGATTTCTACTACAGTAGATCCCCAATTTATGCGAGTATTGCATTCCGGGAGAATTTTGTGTAAGTTGAATTCATGTAAGTCGGGACGACTTTCCCCATAGGAAATAATAGAATAGTGAGAGGTTGCATACCCCAGAAATACCTTAGTTGTAGCTTTTTTTCCCCTTTTCTTGGTGGAATCGCCTGTAGGAGGCGCATATAGTGTCTCACTTATGCATCTTCAGATGCCGCTACCACAATGGCAGCACAATGGAAGCACAGCTCTGTTTGACTCTGCCTGCAAATGTTGCAATGCATTTGCATATATATGCATATATATGCAAATCTTGCACATCTCGAGGGGCATTTTCCAGTCCAGACACTATTAAAAATCAAGTAAACATGAGACACGCGTAAGTCGGATTCGTGTAAATCAGGGGTCTACTGTAGTTAGAGAGTAGTTTAAAACCCAAAGGTATGAGATTTAACAGGTGTTCCTAATTTGTTTAGAGTGAACTATTGTAACTGGTATATTCTTGCTACTTATATAACTATGAAGTCCGTTTTTGAACCTTGCTTACTTTTTGCATGCAACATCCTGTAACAGTTTCACAATTACACATTGTATGATATTTTTTTTCCATTTATAGTTTTTGAAATTACCACCTTTTCATTTTATTAACGTGTCATTTTTTAGTGTTATAAGATAGGGACAATAGAAACTACTAATCTGCCTTCTTGACACCATTCATTATTTTATAGGCTTTATCATGAATCAGCTCAATAGAAAAACTGCTATATTAAAAAAGTTCTTAGAGTGTTATTTAAATTACTAGGAAACATCCAGTTCATACCATATTATGTCTGTTCAAGTAAATCCAGTTTTGCTGTGGTTATTTAACACATAGTCCACAGAACAAGTGATTATGTGTGTGCGTGTGTGTGTGTGCATTTTTGTTTTTTTGTCTTCCTTCCTTCCTGCCTTCCTGCTTTTCTTCCTTTCTTTCCACAAATTAATTTATTTTATCTTACTGTTGGAAAATTTCCTTAAGTTTTTTGTTAAATGTCCATTTACTTTTTGAAAAACTGAAAGGTTTTTTTCATTCAGATATTTCCTCAAATCATTACATGTCAATTATTATTTTATATTTAATTTGCTTCCATACCTATGCCTAATTATAATGTACATATAATAATGTATATTCATGAAATTTCTCCAGTAAATTACTGTTTGGGCCATTAGATAATTGCACTTAAATTGCAAAAGTAATTCCTTCAGAAAAATTTTGGGTTTGTTTATGGATGAGGTAAATGATTATGTTGTTTTAAATCCAATTTATTCTAAATAGAATTTGATGGAAACTGAATTTTGGGTACATTAAGTAATATATTTTGAATAATGGTGTACCATTTTAAGAACAAGAAACTGAATATTATATTATTCTTTAAAATTTGCTGTTGGAATATATTTCTATATTTGAAGATATAATAAACTTGTAATACTAGTTTATTATCTCATGGTTTTTGATTCTGAGCCACAGAGTAATAGAATATTAAATTTGTGTTTTTATAAAGCCAGAAAGAAAAAGAATGTGACAATGTGGATAGCCTTTGCTGTATTTCACATCTTTTACTAGAGACATTTGTTGCAAAATTTTTTTCTCTTTATTACTTTAAAGGCATAATATTTAGCAGAACCATATGCAGTGTATATTCAGGTTATACAGCTCTCTATTAACTATTAAAACTTGGGTCAGAAAAAGGAAGGATGAAACAAAATGTTCCAGAAATTTCTTAAAAGATGTTAGTGTCTTGCAGTGAAGGAACAGTTGACAAACAATATTTTCATATGTGCCAAAAAAGTATACACGTCCCTTTGTGTTTTAAAACACCTTCTTCCTATAGTAGCTAATATAACACTTCTCACATTTCTGTAAGTTTTAAAGGTATTTATGTAACATTTTTTGTAAGAAAATCACTAAGATTATTTTATTCCTATTTGGGATTCAGAAGGGAGCTTTATCAAGTTTTAATAACCTGAAGCTTTCTTCATCTTTACAGACTAGGGTTTAGGAGGGAAAGGGGATCTGTTAGCACTGGCTATCCAATATCTCAAAGATCTAAACACAAAAAGAGTAAAAAGTACTATATTTCTACCAAATCAATTTCTTTTTTATCAGTCAGATCCTCTTTATATTAATCATAAAGCTAATATTACATCCAGCTAATAATACAACTGTATGCATAATTAAGGGACTTCAGTTTATTTCTAGAAGACCTGTACTTTTATTTCTTAGCTGCATCACCCTGTGTAAATTGAGATTATATTCCAGTGTTGCACCATTTTGTAAAAATCAAATCCATATAAAACAGAATATTGACTGAAAACAAGAACTACATAACGATACATTAATAAATGGATGTTGCGATGGATGACACCAACCAATATGATAATTTTTCAGCCTCTACTGAACGTCTAGTGGTAAATACTATTCCTGAAGAAGACTGGTTATCTAATCATGTTCTCAAAATAATTGTTTCTGCAGTTGCCTCTTTGGATGCTGAAGCTGATTTCCCATCTTCAGCCTGTGTTTGCTGTACCTCCTCTACTTTACTACTAGTTCCTAGGTAGCCACTGTCCATGTGCCAACTCTGTCAGATAGCTAAAATATCTGTAGGAAACAACCATTGTGTCCTTTGGCTTTGCTTGAATGTCTTTTTCTTCTTTTGCAGAATTGTCCCATATTGTGGCTATATAAGGTACATTATTTAATAACTTTTATAAAACCCCCAACCAAATTTGGGGGTCATGTTAAGTGCTGTATAACTATATCATACAATGGCAATCCCTAAATTATGCTACACTGGTGCTAACATACAATTGCTACTTTTGTAGGCTGTTAGCTGCTTTTTATTTGTAATCTCACATGTCTAACTTGAAGTAGGCCTAATTGTAGTATTCCCTGTCAATATTTCTTCTATTCTTTTTCCTGGCACCTAATTCTTGGAATACTAACTTAGGTCAATAAGTTTTGATGCAGACAAAGATGATTTTAGTTTTTTACCCATAGGTCTCTGTGCTGATGATCCCAACATGTTTTTAAACATTCATCCTGAATAGTCATTCATTCTAAATGTGATTCCCCTGAAGCCAGAGCCATTTAAATGTAGTTTTTTCCAATCTGTAGTGACTTTTCTGTTCTCACATTCAACTGTGCATAGTAAAAAAATTGTCAAGTGGTGCTTGAATTACAAATGAACCATTTGAGAATTACAAAGTAGCATCTGTTACTGGCTCCTCTGCAGTCACATGACCTGCAAATTCTGATAAAACATGTGTTATTTCTTACTCAACATCTTGTGCAAGAGTTTCATTTAAAATGTAAGAGTATTAAGACATATTCTTCCCATTTTAAATAAAATAGGTCAGCATCAGCCTAGGGCCAAAGGTAATTAGGAATGCCATGTGAATTGGATAGTTGTTTTGATTCTCTTTCTTGTCTTATTAGAGATTATGCAGTTGGATACTTTTGATGACAGGATGTATTACTAGCCAACTAGACACTTTGAGCTCTATTTCTCCACTTTTTAATAATCAGGTAGGCTTAATAATTGTAATCCTTATCTAATGCTTTACCTCTGTAGATCTCAGAATGCTTTATGAAAATGTTATCTTAATGTTATGGATAGGAAAAAACAGATCTTGAGAAGTGAAGTAATGTGCCATGTGTCAACTTGCAAGCCTCTGGCAATCTAAGAAATAAGACCATGTCTCCTGTCCAAGTGTAGGGCTGTATTCATTAAGCAAAATAACCCCGTATTTATATATGTATTTCAAGCT